GGGAACAGTGCTGGGGAATTGGGGGAAGGGCAACAGACAAGTTGCTGTCGTTTTGTTCTTCAGTCTAGTTGTGGAGGATGTTGCTTCACTGGCCCATGTTGGAATTATCATTGCGCTCTTACCGGGTGAGGCAGACAAGTCGCCGGCCTCTGGACAGCCGCTCACAGCGGCTCTTGGCAACTCACACCGGCTGCCAGCCGCTCATGCTGGCTGCCAGCCACAAACGGTACCTTATGGCAGCCCACTGCAGCTTACGCAGTCGCCGGCGACTCACGGCAGCCCAGATCCAGGTTGAGCTGTTTTTCACCACCTTAGCTGTAGAGGGCAGTGTCACTGGCCCCCATGTGGGATCCGAACTGGGGCCCTGCTGCTCAGAGCTGTCATCCCAAGCCAGCTCTTAACCAATGCGCCACTCGACCAGCCCGTAAGTAGACATTTTCTAATGCACCATTTTAATTATCTTGTTTCTTTTCCAGGCCTTTTAAAAACTTATATTCTTAGTTTCCCTAGGGATTACAATTAACACCTTAATTTATACCATTCTTATTTGAATTGATAATAACTTTAATTTCAATAGTATTTTTAAAATTTCTTTTAAAAAATTTATTCTTTGTAGCTTTATTTCCTCACCCCTCTTTTGTGCTATTATTGTCATACAAATTACATCTTTACACATCATGTACCCATGAATATAGACTTATATTATTGCTTAATGCAGCTGGCTTTTAAATTATATAGAAGAAAGAAGTGTGACAAATAAAAAAATGCATTTAAACCATCTTTTGTATTTATCTATGTGGTTACCTTTACAGGTACTCTTTATTTCTTCATGTGGATTTGAGTTACTTTGTAGTGTCATTTCATTTTGGCCTGAAGGACTCTCATGGTATTTCTTTTTTTTTTTAAGGTTTTTTTTTTAATTATTATTTTTATTGGGGGACAGTGCGTTTTTCCAGGACCCATCAGCTGCAAGTCAGTCGAGTAGTTGTTTCAATCTAATTGTGGAGGGTGCAGCTCAGCGGCCCATGTGGGGATCAAACTGGCAACCTTGGTGTTGTGAGCACTGTGCTCTAATCAACTGAGCTAACCAGCCGCCCCTCATAGTATTTCTTGTGGAAGTATACTAGTGATGAATTATCTCAGTTTTTGTTTATCTGTGAATGTCTTAATTTTTGAAATATATTTTTGAAGGATATAGAATTCTTAATTGACAGTCTTTTTCTTTCAGCACTTTGAATTTGTCCCACTGCCTTCTGGTTTTCAAGGTTTCTGATGAGAAATCAGCTATTAATCTTTACCGAGGATCCCTTGAATGTGAAGAGTCACTTCTCTCCTACTACTTTCAAGATTCTCTCTTTGTCTTTGGCTTTTATAAGTTTGTTTATGGTGCATCTAAATGTAGATATCTATGAGTTTATCCTGCTTGAAGTTCAGTGAGCTTCTTAGATGTATAGATTAA